ATGCAGAGATAATCAGTATTTATATTACAGTGCATTTCCTTCTGTACCCTTAGCATAATTATTTATTTATTTATTTGTTTGTTTATTTATTTTTATTCATAGATAAAAATTGTACATACTTAGGTGTACCATGTAATGTTTAAAAATACATAATTCTCATTATTTTACAAAATTGTGATTATTCTGGAAAATAGTTTTGCATTGATTTCACATTTTATTACTCTGTGGTGTTGGGATTGAAGCCAGGACCTTGTGCGTGCTAGGCAAGTCCTCTACCACTGAGCTACATCCAAGCCCTTTATTTCAGACTTTAAAAGAATATAAACAAAAGGTAGAAAGAACACACATAAATAAAAGTGAATGCTACATTTTGCAGGTATGCTATATGCCAATAAGAAGGTAAAATACAAAAAAGAACAAAGAGAGAGGGAGGCAAGATAGGACAAAGGAAGGCAAAAGGAAAAAAAGTCTACTTGCTATAGTTAAGATTAGTGTTGGTCCTCAAGGATTTTTTTTGGTTTTCTCTGGTACCGGGAACCGAACTCACGACCTTGCGCATGCCAGGCAGGCGCTTTTGCAGCTGAGCTAAATCCCCAGCCTGGTCCTTAAGGATTTCTGTGGCAGAGGTCTGGTCCCCACTGTGTTGGTGCTGAGGTGGTGAGCCACAAAGAGGGAGGGAAGGTTAGATCATGGGGTAGCACCCACTAATGTGGGTTTCACGGGATGGGTTAGTACCGTCCAGTATGCCTTGTTATAAGGAAGCCTGGGACTTCCACTAAATCCTCTTGCACATGTACCACCACCACCCTCAGACGCACTACTGCCGTTCTGATGCCTGCGCCAGAGCCAAGCGGGTGCTTGGGGCCGTGCTTTTGAATTTCCAGAACCGCGAGCTAAAAAAAACTCTTTTCTTTACAAGTACCCAGCTTTGAGTTTGTTTGTTTGTTCTTTGTCTTTTTGAGAAAAGGTCTGACGATGCAGTTCAGGCTGGCCTTGAGCTCACTTAGTAGCCCAGGCTGGTCTTGAACTCGCAACGATCTTCCTGCTTCTGCCTCCCAAGTGCTGGGATTACAGATGTGTGCCGCCTTGCCAGGCTGTACTTTCTGAAGGAAATCACCAGTTTGGAGAACTGGGATTACTACAGTCATCACCCACCCTAGCTGGGCCTCCTGCCTCCTGCCCTACTCTCCCTTAAAGACCTCTTTCTGAAGCTCCCATCCACCCCTGTGGCTGCTCTTTTCTGCACACACCTTCCTGCTGGCTAAGGTGGGTCCAGCAACTTCAGCTTTACAGAAATATCATTCAAATAGTTTAATTCTTTTCATAATAACATGCAATAAGATTACAAATAATTCTAGTGATAAATCGCTACACACCTTACCACATCAATGCAACTGTTTGAGCACATTTTTGTCATCTCTTTTGAAATTTACACACACTGTATTTCTTACAGTGAATATGTTTATCTTGTTAAAATTTTACATACTATTGCACAATCTTTTTCAGTTCCATTTCAAGGGGCCCTATCATATATTCCTTGAAATGTCTTCCAAGGATCTGAAATAAACTGAAACCACCCCCTAGTTATTGAATATTTTTTACACTTTATTTTACAACCTTCTTTTTGCACTTCCTGTATTACAGACTTTTTTCTCAATTCAATACATATATTTTCTACATTATTTACAGTGGTTGCATAGCACTCCATGATATAAATTTTTTTGTTTGATATGGAACACTTCACAAATTTGCGTGTCATCCTTGCACAGGGCCCATGCTAATCTCTGTATCATTCCAATTGTAGTATATGTGCTGCTGAAGTAAGCACTGAATTTTTTTATATTTGTAATTTTCCCTTTTAAACAGGTAACTTGTTCCATACTTCAAAAATCAGAAAAGTTAAAATAACTAAAATAAAAATTCTCTTTCCTTTCTTTCCCATGGTATATAACTTCCTTTCTTAGTATCTGCTATATTTTTAGAGTCTATTTTGGCAGATGAAACCAATTACAAATGCCTTTTTGTTTTTTGAGACAAGGTCTTGTTATGTAGTTCAGGCTGGCCTTGAATTCACAGTGATCCTCCTGCCTCAGCCTTCTGAGTGCTGGGATTATAGCCATGTGCCACCATGTCTGACCAAATGTCATTTATTTGTCTATCTTTGTAACCAAAATTTAACATATTACAGTATATACACTCTTCCCATTTTGCTTTTTCACTTAATAACTTATATTGGAGATTGCTCTGCATTGTTCTACAGCTGTGTGGCTTCCTCCCTTTTGGTGCCATCCTTGACTTCCACATGATGGACACTAATGGTCTTCACTTTAATTCCTGACCCCAGCTCTACCCATTATCTCCTAAACCTTATCCTATCCAATAGTCACCTCAGTCCCTTTGTACAGGCTTAGAAAAGAAAAACCACGTGCATGTCAGGGCTCTTGTACTAGAAGAGGACTTTCTCTTCACTCTGAGGACCCTCTGCCTCAGCTCTCGCCTCTGGCCAGAGGTGTCCAGCCTTCACCCACAGCTCCCACCCCACACCCAGCTCTCCCCTGCCCTCTGTGGTCTGTCCTCATCCCGCCTCCACTGAGACTGATGCCTGCATGCTCAGCTAATGGAAGCACCCAGCAGCTTGGCCTGTTTCTCTGCTTTCCTTGCTTCAGCATCTGAAGATGGGTTCCTCCTCTTTGTATACCCACATATGCCTTAACCCCTTCATCCAAAACTCATCTCCGCAGGACCCCTTAACTTGTGGCCGTGCTCCTTCTACCTTGGTCCCAGCTCACTTCCTGTCCCTGCAACCCCCACCCTAAACCATAGCCTCGACCTCCAGATTCTGTCTTCCCAGTAGCTTCACTCCTGCCCTCTCCCTCAGTTTATTACTCTATTACTCCTACATTAGATCCTAATTCTGATTTTTGACTGTTAATAGTGGGCTCCTAACAAAGCTTTCTCTGCCCTCTTCCGCACTCTGAGAACAGCAAGTCTTTTTTTTCTTCTTTTTTTTGTCTTTTTGAGACAGGGTCTCGCTATGCAGCTCAGGCTGCCTTGAGCTCACTCTGTAGCCCAGGCTGGCCTTGAACTCACAACGATCCTCCTGCCTCCAGCCTCCCAAGTGCTGGGATTACAGGTGTGCACCACTATGCCTGGCAGAACAGCAAATCTTACATCATTTCCTTCTTCAAAACTCTTATTTTCAAACCAATTAAGTACCAACTCCCCAATCTAATATTCAAGTTCTTTCAAAATTTTAATTCAATATAGGCACTGACTTCAGTCTGTATTCCCTTCCCACCGCATACTAAGTATTCCAGCCCTCCATGCAAGTGGCTTGTTATGCCCACCTGATGTGCTCTTATACCTCCAAGCTTTCGTTCCCCTTTTTTGTCCACCTAGATTAACTTCATCTCTGCTATTCTAAATCTCATCTTCAGCCAGTTGTGGTGGTGCACACCTGTGATCCCAGCACTCGGGAGGCTGAAGCAGGAGGATTGCTGCCAGCTTGAGACCAGTTTCAACTACACAGTGAGTTCAAGACCAGCCTAAATTATATAGAGAAATCCTGTCTCAAAACACAAAACAAAACAAAAAACAACCAAAAATTTCACTCATCATATATTTGCCTACCTTCTAACAAATATATTTTGGTTATCCATGCAGTCATCAAATTTCCATACTGGATTTTATTTTATTGTTTTGTTTTTTTTTCTTTGAGACAGGGTCTCACTATGTCGTGCAAGCTGGCCTTGAACTTGCTTGTATAGCCCAGGCTGGCCTTGAACTCTCAGCAATCCTCCTGCCTCAGTCTACTGAGTGTTGGGATTACAGGCATGCGTCACCACACCCAGCTCCACAGTGGATTTTACACCCTCTTTTGAAAAATAGACTGTACTTAGTGAGCCCTTCTATGTGATCTACATGCACTTTCCCATTTAATCCTCACTTCAGCACCATTAGGCCAGGGCCCTCCCCATTTAACAGTAAGCAAACTGAGGCTCAAGGAGATTAAGTAGCTTGCCCAGATCATGCCAATGACGGTGAGATCGCCTCCTTCCTTGAGGTTCATGTTTGTAGCACAATGTCCACCATCTGCACTGCAGCCGACCTGTGCATGCCCTGTCCGCCTGTTAGGCGGGGTTTGCGTGTTGACCAAGACTCTAAGGAGCCTGAAATGGCTGGAGGGGACACAGTAATGAGTCAGGATGGTGAAACTGTCTGCGATCTTTCCAGATCCCCACTATCGGGTTATAGGGCTTTTGAAATAAGAATTTAAAATATGTAATTGCTAAACACGATTGCATCTACTCTTTAGTAGTCTCCAGTTGTTACCTGTCGGTTAGTTTCGTCTCTCTGGTTTTACTGTCATTCTTCCCTCGGATTTTCGCGATCCTCTTGTTTTCCCACAGCTTTTCGGTGCATTGCTCAACACACGGAGTGCGTACTTGTTGATTTTAACGTGTATCTGTTTGCATGTGTGCGCAGCAACTGGGTAGAGGACGTGGGGGGTGGGATGCATTGTACATTCCTTTTCCTCATTCTTTTTTCCCTTGAGCAGCTGCAGCTTAGATGCTTTCCTTCTCCGGGAGGGGGGAAGAAGGGGGAGGAGGCAGAACCGCCGACCCTTTAACAAGTTGTCGCTCAGAACAGGTGTCTCCCCCGCCTCTGGCAGGAGAGGGAAGGCAGGCTACTTAGTGACATCAGCGCCCAGCCAATGAGAAGTCAGGCTGCGGCAGCCGCACCAATGGGTGGCTGGGGGCGGGCCCGTTTCCCGAGAGCCGGGCGGGCCGGGCTGGTCCTTCGGCCGCGGTTGAGTCTCTGCTGCTCGCGCT